AATGACACCTTTACGATTGACCAATTCTGGTCGCTTTTCCTTGACCGCTGCATTCAATTTGTCCAGTTGCTAACATTCACGGATAATAAAAAATAACATAATAATAATAATAATTTTATAATATAACATTTACGGATATCATAAAAATGGGAGTGAGAGACATCTATAACTGAAATCGGCAATTACTTAGTTGCCAACCCAATAGTTTTTAGGATCAGAGAAAAGACAAATTGACCTCGAAGATGGATGAATTGTCTAATTGTGAATTGTCTATCAAATCGGACAATGTGATATCGACCGACTAGGAACCATTGAATTTGGTTTACCTCTGCAAGGTTTCACAGGCACCCTGTAGCACGCGCCTTGCAGCTTGCACTCTCCGCAAGGACTTCCGGACGTGTCGCTTCCAGAGCCCTGCCGGCTGGATCGCAGATTGCTCTCGGCTTCCGCGATGCTCGGGAAGTATCGTTGCTTGTGCCACCTTGAGGTTTTGGACCTGCGCATGAAAGAACACCAGAAGGAGGAAGAGAAAGGGGTTCGGAGCGGAAGCGAAGCGTGGAGATCTGAATTCAATGGGCACGGGACATGCGTCGGGAAATGCGGAGGAATCGAAAGAAAACATTGTTACCTCTCGAAATCGACGCTGGATCGTTCGTAGTCGATCGTGTTGGTGTCCTCGTTCTCCAGATGGCCGAAGGTCTTGAAGTGCATGGTGTAATCGAGCGTCGCCGTCGTCACGGACCGATTTTCTCTACCGGGGACGCTGAACGTTGCGTATGGGCTTATCTCGTACATTTCTATGAGAATAAAAGCAACGTGTTTCAGAGCTGCAATATAGGTTTAGAAAGATTTTGGATCGATGGCGCAAGAAGTTCGAGGTGTTCGCATACCCGATCCATGGTCATTCGGCTTGTGGTTCTCCTGCTTCACCGGGGAGCTGGTGTAAACCTGATGATTCCTTCTATTATCGCGCTCCGCCGTAGATTTTAATTGCACGGTGGACATGCAGCTGGACAGATTATGATGTTGCTGATGTTGCGGCGGCTGGACCAGTCCGAGACCCGATTGCTGGTTCTGTTGTTGGCCGGGAAGAATTTCTCCTAAATATGTCGCCCTGAAAACACGCGTCTTGTCTCGTCCAATCTTCGGAGATACGAAAGAATAAACGAAGCTACTTTGCAATCGAAGTCGTTTTAACACTTCCACGACCGCGCCAGAAACCTCAACAATTTCATACAATTAAAGTATTTCATTCAATTAAACAAAAATTACGAAGCAGACTTATATGGCATCGATTACTTCTTCAACATTCGTACCTCTCGCAAATCTTAATAAAGTCATTTTTAATTAATCAATCGACTGAATCGACTGAATCAATCGACTGAATTTAAAACGGGGAAATCTTCCCATTCGGTTGGCTAAGTGTTCGCTCGACAACCAACATAGTTTCTCTGATCCACAGTATTTCCATCTTATATGACTTATTGCATTTTATGCGGACGGAATCGAGTCGCGCGACTTTCAACAGTTTTTTAAATAGAAACAAATATGACAATGTGGTGCAAATTATTTTCGAACACGATACAACAATCTTTATTGGTGCCAGAGAGGGTTAACCCTTTGCACCTGAAGCCAAATTAACGGAAAATTTAACGTGGCTTTTCCGACCCACTGCATTTCCATTTTATATAATCTAATGCATTTTATACGTATGAAATTGAATTTTGTGACAGATGCAACAGTTATCCTTTCAACAGTTCTTCCAAATATGAACAAATTTGATTAATAAAATTATAATATAATATAACAATATTGAATATTATATTATATATTATATTATTATATATATTATATATTATTATATTATATTACATATATATTATATATTATAATTATATATTATATTACATATATATTATATATTATAATTATATATTATAATTAATATATTATATATATTATAATATATATAATATAACAATTATTAATGGCGCCTTGGAGTCACCACTCGAGTGGAAAGGGTTAATAAGTACCTTCCGCTGCGCTTCAGCATCACGTATCCCAAAATAGCGGCCGAGACGATGAGCACTATAGCGCAGACGAGTGGCACGACCACGTAGATTACTTTCTGATTAGGCACGGCCTTCTTGACGTCGTCCTCCATGATCAAATCGTTCGGGGGACCTATGCTGACGCCGCTGAGCGTGGTAGTCGCGAATTCCATCTGGGCCTGCGTGAATCCGGCATCGTTGTGAGCTGTTAAACGCAGGCTGTACCACGAGGCGGTCTTCAGGTCTCTTATGATCAGGTTTTCCGTCGCGCGACTCGCTACCAGGATCCATGGCTCGGTGCTGACTCGTCTTCTATACTCTACGGTATAGTATTGTATGGGACAACCGCCATTGGGCCAGGACAATAGGTTCAGCTTGACGGAGGTGCCGTTGGCGTTGATAATGTCCCTGTCTTTTGGTAGCAGCGGGGCTGCGAACGGAATTAACGAAATTTTGTTATTATATAAACAATTATAAAGAATTAAAACTTGTAACTTCTCATTTTATCGACCCTCGGATGACGGGTGTTGGATCTATCTGAACCCAGAGTGACAAACATTTCATCTAAATTCTAATGTTGTGCCGGTCATATGTAATTATTAACTATTAATATTGATACTAATAAAAGAATTAACTTTGGTCTCAACAAAGAGGTTTTAATAATGTACAAATGAAAATTAACCGTAAAGATTAGAATACATCCAGCAGTGGCTGCCATAAATGCTCGAAAAGGTCCGCCGTCCGAAGGTTAACGATGCTTCTGCATCTTAGGAGCGTCTAAGGACATTATCACTGGGATAATACGGGATCGATAGAGCACGGTTTGCATTACCGGTTCCTTTGGTCGTCGCGCTTATGGACGTACTCGGCTTGCCGGTACCCACGCGATTGTGCGCCGTCAAGTATGCGAAATAGGAGGAACCGCATTTCAGCCCGGTCAGGATGAACTCCGTCTGCTCCGGCGACAATGCGATTTCCTCCCAGCCACCTTGGTCCCTTTTGTAGCTTAACACGTAGCCTAACGGAGCCCACAAAGGCTGTATTAATTGCAGTTCCACAGAAGCTTCACGCTATTATCGACTGCGCTAAAAGGATCAATCTTTCCGGCAGACACTTCCGAATTTCTTTAACTTACCTTGTATAGTCGCGCCGCCATTGTTAGGATGGCTCCATCGAAGTCTTATGCTATTCGTTGTTGTGTACTGTAACTCCAGCGTGGGTGTCCTGGGTGGCATCACAACAACCACCGTGTAGGTGATCGAGTCGTCACCGAAGAGGTTAGTGGCTGAACACGTGTAGTTTCCGGCCACCGATTGCTCCAACCCTGAACGAATAATCACCCTTATTCTTTCATCCTTATTTTAGCAAATTCTCGGTTTGTTTATTGAACGAGAAACCATTAGACTGACCGCGAATATTGAGATGACCGTCGGCAGTCAGCTCGTAATGGCGGCCAGTGGTGACCGGGCCATTTCGAAACTTCCACAATGGACGAGGCGTGGGATTCCCCACAACAAGACAGGACAGTGTAATCGAGGACTTGATCGCTCTTCTCAGAACTTGGGAGAAGGACGCCACTCTGGCTGGGGCTACACGGATAAAATAGTGCTCGATTGAACACAACGATTCTCTTACAATTTATTAGCTCGAGTCATAAACAACTTGCGATGCAGCTAGGTAGGATCTATTGCTCGTATCTACCCACTGTGAGTCACCGGGACGAACAAGTAATTGCTTTCACTAAATAGATAAGTGTTCAAAAATAAATAAAATAAAAAAACAAAAAATAAACAAAAAAATCCAAATAAATATCTGATACAGAAAATATCTGATACGGAAGTTACTTATGACTCGATTATTTATTTCCAACGTCTCATATACAAGGTGTCCCAGGTTTTAATGTTCAAACTTTGTCAGTGCATTCTATGGCACAAAGTAAGAGAAAAATATTATGTAAACATAGGTCATATAGAGCTTTATTAATAAGTTATAACAAAAATTCAGAATAGGAATAGTAATCAACTTGCTGTTACTGTGAGCATTGGCTTGAATAGATCAGCACATGCCGTGTGTTTATGTAAGCTGTGTTTATTAAGACATTTCGAAATGTCCACCGTTGTTGACTGTTGAAGGTTGTCCCTGCGACGGACGTAATATTTTAAATTAGGGTATTACATTGTTGTATGATGAGCTGCGTCGCATCTAGCGAGAGAGTGCGACGACTGTCTCCTGTCTGCGTTGCCTTCTTCTTGAGGCTCCAACGGCCAAAAATTTTGTTTTTTAGTTAGTTGTCTGCGGACGAACGAGGTGTGTAGTTGTGCCTACCGAACTATCACCCTTAATATCGATTAGCTTTATGTGTGTTTCCTTTTCTTCTTTTTTCAGTAAAAATTAACTCTGTTACAATTATTTGCGTTGCCTGTAAAAATTCAACATTGACAATACATGATTGACATCGATCGAAGATCGAATTTGTGACCGTGCGAATTTCGTTTCTATTCTCTTTCATTTCATTGAACGCATTATTAATCCTATTCTGAATTTTTGCTTATATATCTTAATAAAGATATTATATATCTAAATTAAAGATATTATATATCTTAATAAAGCTCTATATGATCTATGTTTACATAACATTTTTTTCTTACTTTGTGCCATAGAATATACTGACAAAGTTTGAACATTAAAACCTGGGACACCCTGTATAAAAGTTTCATCCAACCTCTGGTGTTGGTAGTCTGCGTCACGGTAGTGGTCGGTTCTCCCTCGCCCTTGCCAGTAGTCGCAGACACCCAGAACTCGTACAGTTGTCTGCAAAGAAGAAACCCCTAAGCATACATCGTTCTAAACATTGACGTTAATCAATTGCTTAAAATTCGTCGATTTCACCTTTCCACTAAGCCTCTGAGCTCCATGGTAAGGGTGTCGGTGGGCGAGGAGGGTGGCTCGTGCATGGTATGCGCGTTGTGGTTGCTGGAGCCGGCTTCCCTGCTGTAAACCGTGTACTTGGAGACGTTCCCATTCGGCTGCAGGGGCGGCAACCATGAGACTAATATGCTCTCCGCCGTTAATGCTAAGGCTTTGATGCCAGCCGGTGGACCGGGCTCTGGAAACAGCGAACGATTTTTTTCAGAAATACGCACAGAGTTTTCGAACGAATTGGTGAGATCGATTCGTACCATCTTCCTCCGTCATGCAAAATATTGCTGGACTCAGGACCCCGTCGCCTGCGCCGGTGTAAGCCAGCACCCTGATGGAGTAGTTCGTGTACTTGTACAGGGTGTGCAGGTAGGTCTCCACGCTGGAGGTCTTCTTCACCTCTCCGACCGTCGATATGTCCACTGAAATGGTTGAACGGTGTTCTTTCATTAACTTCTTTCAACTCCAGCAGTGGAAATTCGTTTTACAAATATTAGGTCGAGTCGTGGATAACTTCCGTTTTCTCTTATCAGACTTCTGTTTTATCGTTTCTTATCTATTTTTTTGTTTTCTTTTCCTTTATTTATTTTGGACCTTTATCTATTTGGTGAAAGCAAGAACTCGTTTGTCCCGGTGACCCGTGGTGAGTAGACACGAACAACAGATTCCACCTAGCTGCATCGGAAGTTACTTATGACTCGACCTAATTGCATACGCTGCATTGAGTAAACTAATGTGTTGCAGTTTATTCGTTATAATAAAATGTTTATTCAAACCGAACAATCATAGGGCAGTGCGTACTCGCGCATTCAACTAT